CTTTTCCTGAAGATAGAAGAGTTTGTTGAATCTGACGTGACATGTTCGTACGAACCCTTTGTACGAACAAAAGTAAGAGAAATTTAGGATAAAAATACGAACATATTCTTGCATGAGGCCCATTGATCTTTGCGCGGACCTGTCCAGTAGACAGCCGCTTCGAGTCCACATTGAGTATGGCTTGAGTCCGTGCGGATCTTCGCAGAGCGAAGTACGCCACCCGCTTTGGATGTTATCATCCATTGAATGGACATGATTAGTCGTTAGCAGGCCAATAGTATGGCTTCAGAATGTCCCGACTGTGGCTCCTAGTGGGTTCTCCATCCCATAGAATGGACTGATAATGTTAGAACCGGCTGGTTAGTATGAGGCATAAAGTCAGTAAGGTTAATTTTAGAGAAAATGTCATAGGCTTCCATAAAGTAGACCATTGTTGCAGGCCCAATGTAGGGCAATGGGTAGAGTGCCAGACCAGAGAGTGGGAGAGACAGGAACGAGACCAGGCACGGGCAGCGAGAAACACCGCCCCCCCACAAAAAATTAATTAAAATATGTTTTGGTTATTTACACATTTACACATTGATATTTACCCACTAGTGGGCACAGTCGGGACAGGCTGAAGCCATTCTATGGGACTAATAACCGCTAATAACGTCCATTTAATGGACTGATAACATCAGAACCCGCTGAGTACGCCCGAGTATGTTGGGGCCTTTAGTTCATTTCAGTGTTTAAAAGAGGCCCTTTGACTAAACTTTGTTTAGTCAAAGTTACATATGAAATATCAAAGTCAATTACAATTGGCCCTTCGAGAGCCACCATAATGCTTATAACTCTGGGAAAATGAGTTTGACACACCTGGTGTCGAACATGTAAGAGGAAGGAACCTCTCAGGAACAAGATATAAAAGAAATGTAACCAACGTGGTTCTGAACAATCATTGACCCAGGTCTGAAAAAGCTTTAGAACCAGCACCTAGGCAATACTGCTGTTTCCAGCTGAGATGAAGCGTCACCTTGAGATGTGAAAAAAAGGAGCTGGACCAAGCAGAAAGAACCCAGCAGCTGTGATGATGCCTCCAGTCACTGTAAATGCATTCCTGGTGACCTGGAGAGAATTCAGACTGAAATTAGTATAAAGATCCACAAACCTTCTGTTTTAACTTCTGCAGCTTTAATACTTACAGGATATTTATCTGTGAAGTAACCAATAAGTGGTGAAGCCAGACAATATGGTAAGGACAAGCCCAGCATGATGAGCCCCACATAGCCAGAAGTCAGATTAAACTAAAACAACAAGAAAAGTGCTGAAAACAAAAAATATTTCATTCAGTAAAACTGAAGAGAAAACAGAGTTCTGACTCCACTAAGCTGTAGCTAAAACCAGGAAAAAAAACAGTAGATAAAAGATAGAAAAGATAAAATTAACACAACTGTATCTTTAATATAAAATAAAATAAATCATGGCTAAAGCTACAAATAGCTAAATTGTAGCTGCTGTTGTTTTTCTTTCAGCTGCTACCCTCTGCAGGGGTCACCTCAGAGAGCAAATTAAATATGTAACTGTTTTACAGCTGATGTCCTTTCAGACCAGACCTGGCCTCAAACCTGCAGCCTCAGGATTATGAGACCACTGCCTTGACCAGCGAGCAGCCGCAGCCCCTAGAACAGCCACAGCTTAAAGTTCAAACTAGCAAGACAGTAGCTAAAAGCTAACCTAAAACACAGAATACATGTTGAAGTTAAGTTCAGAGAAAGTTTGGAAGAAAACGAAGAGATCTGAATGCATTTCTACGTGATTTTTATATATATTTAAATTCAAAGAAGTAAAGAAGTTAGAAAAACTAAAGTCACAGAACATTATTCCATCTTAAAATGAATACTTGAATATATGAATGGTTAAAATAGTACTAATGTGTAGCTTCAAATGGATTGTGGGAGTAGTTTGATTCCAAAACTGTCCAGAGGAAACTATAAAGAAGAAAATGCTGACTCAGTATTCAGACTGTTAATTAGCAGCTTACTGTCTTCATTGCAAACAGCGACAGGGTGGCATCAATGAAGCCCAGACCTGAGCTGAGAGTAAAAATCACAAAACATATCAGGACAACTCTGATTTGTGTGAGAAGTCCGAAGAAGGAATCGTTTGATGGATCTGCCTCTGGAGACAAGAGAAGCAGAAAAAACAGATCCAAGTTACAGTCAGTGAAATACATTGATAGAAACTATTTTAACGAAATTATCTTCAAACTAGTACCGATGGATGGCAAAACGTAAATGTTGAAGGGAACCATAATCAGAAGCACACATCCAAGGAGCATGAATGGGACTTCATACCCAAACGAGTGGTAGAACCAGCCCCCCACCGGTGGTCCCAGTATGAGCCCGAGCCCTGTGAAAATCTCCAAACTTCCCTACAAACAGACAGAAATTCATACATTGTCACAATATGAGACAGAGCTGACTGACAAGACTGGCTATAAAATACTGAAGCTGAATACTAATGATAAATGATAAAGCTAAATGCAAAAACTAAATGCTAAAGCAACATTAAAAAGTGCTGTGAAGACCAATGTTTCAGTCAAGTGACTAAGACAACATTAAGCTCCATCTCACACAAAATGGCAAAGTTACAAGTTCTTGTTGTTGGTGACTTACAGCTACTTCCACACCTAATTTTAGCTCAACATCTGGAAAACTGACTGAAGTAAAGCTGTTTGCTAAAAACAGCTGGCAGTGACAGCTATCTTTCTTGGGTTGACTCCAAAAGATAATAAGTTGTACATTAAACACCATTTTTTTTTAAGTTTCATTAAAAATCATCCCGTGGTTCATGGAATATTTTGCTAACAAACATGGACACAGACAGGCAAAAACATTATAGCCCTTTGGCTTTCTAGGATAAATGGTAAATGTTCTGAACTTAAATAGTGCTGCAGACTCCAAAGCACTTCACACTACAGACATTCACCCATTCACACAGTGATGGTGGTGAACACACACACCACAGCTGCCCTGGGGCACACTGACAGAGGTGAGGTTGCCGTGCATCCATGTGTCCACAGTAAATAAGTCAAACTATGAGGGGTTTTCTGTTTGCTTGTGACTCTACCGTCTCCACAACATACCAGGCAGACAAGAACAGAGCTCTCACCAGAACAGTTGCCACATTGTTCGGGAATATTTTTGCTGTTATAGCAAAAGAGGAGGTCATGGCAGCAGCAAAACCCAATGCATCCAAAGACCTGACGATAAAACACAGAGCGATGAAGGTGGCTCCTGCAGGGGCCTTATCAAGTAATCTATGGAGACAGGAAGAATCAGAGAAAGTTATGCAAATATCAGAAGAAGTAAAAAAATGCTTTACATGAACTTTGTTTAAATCCAACAAACTATCAGCCTTTATTAATTGTTGAATTTTATTTGTTTAAATAATTCAGCATTTGCATTAGTTTCTGTTTTATACTTTTTACAATTGAATTACATTTGCACACTTTGTGCTTTTTTATCCATTGATGTATTAAAATATTTAGCTCATTCAGGAGATTACTTGTAGTAACTTTGGTTGTTGTAACTTTTATAACATTTACAAAACATTTTTCAATAAAAACCCATTAAAATAACTACAGTTTCTTAAAGCCCTAAATCTACTCCTGCTACTGGTTGCTTTGAGTTAAAAATTCTCTAAACATGATGTCCCAGTGGCTTTCAAACCCCAAAACACATTAACGCAACAACTGTTTCACCCCAAATATCCGGTCCCCATGCACAAACAGAGTAATGTTGTGTATACTGTTAAGCGCCAGGAGTACTGTGACCAGTTATACATTGAGGAAACAAAGCTCGATGAAACAAAGTTGCCACTGTTCAAAAGAATGGGCCAGCACAGACAAGCAACATAATCAGGCCAGGATTCTGTAGTTTACACTCATATACAGACCAGGATTCCACAGTTTACACTCATCTACAGGCCAGGGAGCACTCTTTCAGGGATGAAGATGTTCTCATCCTTGATAGAGAGGAATATTGGTTTGAGAGAGGAGTAAAAGAAACAATTTTTGTGAAAAAAAAACCCACAAGTCATTAAATGGGTGTAGGCCTCCATGTCAAGTTACCCAGGGCACTATAATTTCCGCTATGTGGAAAAAATAGATGGAATCACGGAATTGACTAAACAAAATGGAATCCAATGTAAAACGCGGAATCTCACAGAATTTCCTTATTTGGGTGAGTTTCTGAGGTATTTTGGCTGCTGATGCGCCCTGTACCTGCCATTGCCTGGTTACGTGCACACAGAGCAAAATAAAATAAAATAAAAAGTAGTGGCGAAGGGACTTGCAGGAATGCCAACGTCCTCCAAGAAATAAAAAAATAATGCTAAACTTAGCGCAAAGTTTAGGGCAGAACAATACTCCAGCAATTTTTATGAATCTGGAGAACAACTTTTCTGCAGGTTTTGTCAGCAAACCATCATCTGGACGCGTAAAAACACATGTAATGCCCATTTTCAGAAACAAGGAGAAGAAACAAGCTGGTGCGAGACAGACATGCCTGCAAACGCTTCAACATTCAACTGCATCAGTGGAATTGAGGCGTGAGTTTATCTAATATTTTGTTGCTGTGTGTGTGCTAAATCTGATATTCCTTTAGAGAAAATGAAAAAGCTTTGTCCGTTTTTGATAAAACACTGTAAGCAGGGGGGGTCGCTGCCAGAACACATGAGCAGCCTTCATCAAGTCCACCTACCCCGTGTTTTTGAACAGCATATTGAAGCTGTCCAGAAATAAAAAATCAGTTGTGGTGGACGAAACTGATGCACGAGATTGCAGCGTTCTGAACATTGTTGTTGGTAAGCAACTTAAGTACAACACAAAGTAGTTATTTAAAATACTATAATGTTTTTAATGTAGTAGTATTCGCATGCATTTCTAAAATAAATTATTGAGTTGTGCAACTTTTAAGTAAAATGTTGTAAACTTAACTATCTAAAATACTAAAAATTATTAGATTATTGGTGATAATTTGTTGTTATTCTGATCCTAATTAAAACAGTATTTTTAAGTCCATCCTTATGTGTCTTTCCAGGCTTTGAAGGCCAATACTTTCTGATGGATGTAATTTTCCTGGAGCAATGCAACTACTCAACTTTTGCCCAAGCAGTCCTAGGATCCCTCCACAACAATAAATTGGATCTCAATGATGTCTTGGCAGTGGTCACAGACAATGCAGCCTACTGCCTGAAAGCATACGGGGAGGTTCTGAGAGATGTGATACCAAACAGCATCCATGTGACCTGACTTTGTCATATCATCAATTTAGTTGGTGAAACATGGCAGCATTACACATACTTTTCAAATGTGTCATCTCTTCTGACTTGGAGGCGATCAGTCTTCTTCAAAAAGCCAGCAAGGAAGAGAAGGTGGGTGAACTTTCTCATTATGAAAGAAAACTTGAAGACCAGTGTTCCTCCTGATGTTTTCAGTACTAGTTGGAATACTTGGTTTGATGCAGTAAAGTAGGCTACCATGCAGAGCATGTTCATCTGTAGAGATTCTCTTGGCAGAAAAGTCATCATCCCAGACTGTCCCCAAACATCCTCAGTCTGCTTGAAACAGAAGAAAACGTGCAGGCTCTCATTCTACAGCTGACCTTCATCTCAGAGGGATGCACGATACTAATGACAGCTCTAATGATCCTGGCAGACCAAAAGCAGCTCGTCCAAACTACTGTCAAACAGTTTCCAGCAATATCAACTAAAACAAATCTGTGCCTGGTATGTGAACTTGTAAATGTGGTTTGTCCCCGTTTAACTATTTAGTTGTGCAGTTCTTTGCTTTTACTAAATTAAAGCCTATGGTGAAGGGCGTTAGCATCAGGGCTAGATACGGTTAGCCTAGTGTTAGCCTGGATGTTAGCATGTTTTTTTGCAGCTACATCTCAGTTTTAAAGGGGCAATATCATGCAAAATCAACTTTTTTGAGTTTTATATCATGTTATAATGTTATACTCTCATTAAAAAAAACATGCCCAAAGCCTTGCTTTGACTCATTCATGCATGTTTGAGAAATCCTGCAGCATTTTTAGGAAGCCATGCTGAGGAGCAAAACGACAGTTGGGGACCAGAAATGCCTCTGGGATGTGTCTTTAAGCCGAGCTTCCTCATGGCAGAGCCCCACCCCCCTTCACCACACACCCCGCCCATGACTCCTGCAGGCTTTAGGGTGAAACTGAAAGTGAAACTGTCTGCAGCGCTCCTAATACTTCTCACTCAGTGAAGATTAAAAATACCTTTGAGGAAATGTATTTTCAGATGCCAAGTAAGCTGCATCATAGCAACCCCCCCCCCCCCCCACTGAAATGGGTGGGATAGAAGCGGAAGGAGGTTCTTAAAGAGACAGAGGCCAATTTCAAGGCATTTAGAAGAGGAAGTGATGAGAAGACAAGTTTATTTTTTATTTAAACATAAAAACAGCATTTTAATAACAGCTAAAGGTGACATAGATATTTATTATGGTATAGTATTTTAATGTATGTCTGAGAAACATAATATCGCGCCTTTAAAGAAATATTAAGCCTATGGTTAGTAGCCGTATGCTGCAAAACTATATAGATGGCTTAATTTACCCGTCTCAATTCTGAGTAAGCTGGGAATATTAAACAATCCTCTTCCCAAATACATGCTAAAATATTTTGTCTACATGGCAGCATTAAAAGATTAGCCTCCAGGGGCTATAAAAGTCTCTGGTTTATTTTAATAAAAACATGCTAATGGAGTTATTAGCGGCAGCTTATTTATTTTTATCATTTATTTAAAATGACTGCAGCTGTATGAAACCCTCCAGTTCATTTCTAAAGGTTACAAGCAAACTAGCACCCATGTTTAGAATAAGGATGGAGAAAAAAAAGCTAATCGAATTGTTACAATTCTGAGGGGCTTAGGAACATTTTACTTCCAGAAATGTTGACATTTATGAATTTGCATTTGTGTGTGTCTTTGGGAAAGACGAGGTAGTTGATGTCAGTAGTAGCTAACCTCGGGACATGTCATCTACCCAGTCCGTGAGCAGTGACGGGTGAGCCACTGTTAAAGACTTGTCCTTACCGCTTTTTAAAAACATTCTTACATTATATACACCCCCGATGTGTTGCTATTTATGACAAACTTCAGTGAAAATACTTTGATAAACAGCGATGGTGTATCCTCGTAATTGTAAACAGCGCAAGCAGACATATCAGACATAGCAGACATATAAAACCAGCTTCCGCTATGAATTATGAGTAGTGGTGTGAAATCAGGAGACTGAAGAAGTCTCTTAGAAGAGAAACTAAACGTTTCACTAAAGTAGAAACTGTCCAGAAGATTTTCGAAACTTTTTTTTTACATTTTTCTACCTGGATTACTGTGATGCAACAGGACCTTTTAGCTAATATTTTTCTGATGCTGATGCCAATGTTCTGCTGTTTTTAAATTAGTGTATTGTTGCTTTTAAGCTTTTAGCTAGCATTTTATTGCTTTTGTGTTTTAGTTAATGTTCCTCTAGCACTTTCTTTTATGTTGCATGTTAACAAAAAATATTTCTCTAGATTTTTTTTCTAAAACTTTGCTTTATTAAAATCAAAAGTTTCAGCTGTATGTTTTCAATAGATGTT